AAACAAACTCTTCTGAGAAACACAGTGAACCCGAATACTACCAAAAATAGACTAAATATGTTTTGGGATATCTGCAAGCCTGTTCATGATTTATTGTTATTACATATTAGGCCAATGTTATTATAGATTACCCCTAAGGCTCATTAGAGATCAGAGAAGGCACACTAGAGAGGTCTGGATTTCAGTTCAGTAAAGGTTGACTTCACTCTGCAGCCATTTCCTCAGCACGGTTTCTCCATCCAGCTGCAGGGATTCACCAAGCTTGTTAGGACACAGTATGCTGAGACCTCATCTCATCCTGAGTGAACTGAACCTAAGCAGTGTGTCCAAAGGTTATTGCAGGGGTAAAAGGGACAGACAACACATGATCAGATAAGTCCAACTTCCTTAGGAAGTCAGCTCAAATTAACAAGCACAGATTCTTCTCCCATAGAGGTGCAGATGGAAAACACCTAATCATCTCAACAAAGAACAAAGCAAAGGGTGAAGGTTAGGGGACACTACTGGCCAAAAGAAAACTTTTGATCTCCTAGGCTATTGTGCTGTGCAGAATAAGGAAACGGCTCAGAGTCATTTACACACTCGTGTTTTAACCCATTCAAAAAATTTTCTTGATACTTACTACAACTGACAAACTAATATTGCATGGAGGTGAAGGATGTATTTGTGTAAATCTGATACAGCTACACATATTTCCTGATATGCTTGAATTTGGTGACCTCATGGTTGACACATTTCCTTGAATTCTTGTGCTCTGCAACACAGCATGGAATAAGCACAGTGAGCAAAGGCACACGAGTCTGACTTTGCATATATAAAAAATGCCTCTTATCATGACTGCGATGGCTATCCACTCTGCCTTTTCAGTACTTAATACAAGTGTAGAGCATAGAAACAAACGCACCCACATTTTTTGCAGTATATAAACCAAGAATCCAATGAAAACACACAGAGAATGTTTCCCACTTCTCTAGTGCTTACTGCATTTTACTGACACAGAACTGAAGCAAAACACAAACCAATTATTCCAAAGCACATCTCAGTTTTGGGGGAGGAGGGGGTACTTCTGGCTAGTTCTCAAGACAGCAAGTCTTCGGAGGAAAATGTCATTTGCCCACAATGTCAACTGCGCTTTACTCCATGTGAGGTTCAAGGGCCAGATCATATCACTCAGACTTTACAAAGAGGACTGCAGAATAAAATTGCTGTTCCTTATCAGAGTCATGTTATCTGCATAACTCTGTCCCTGCCAGTTCTTTTCAGCTTATGCATCCTTATGAACTAATAAAACATTAAATAAATTGACCTGATTAATGAAAGAATTTATTTTCCTTAATATGGCAATGTCCAAAAACTTATTTTGAACTATATGACCTTTAATCTTCTTTCCATTACAGGAAAAGCCTAATTAGTTTTATAAGAGAACACTGATAATTATTGCAGTAATTCCAAGTGCAATTTTTTTTAAACAACTGGCAATGACCCAAGGGTTGCAATCCTTCATTGTTTACAATGAAACTTGTGGTATTCAAATTATTTTTAAGGTACAATGAACCAAATCCAAAGAAAGTCTGGCTCCACGTTTACAAACAGCATATAAATAGACTGAATGCTGAAATGCGGCTTTCACACTAAATAATATATTGAGAAAAAGGAGCAATAGTTATGTGATATCCTTTTGGAGTGAATGTAAGGAATGAGAGTCACTTACGAGAAATAAATTGATTTTTTTTTACTTATCAAGGAAATGGGCAATTCCTGAAACTATAGATCTATATTTTCTGATAAATTCCCATTGTAGTAATCTTTGTTGAGACTTTAAAAGCTCTCATGCCCTGCTGTATTTCCACTCTTAGTAAGTATGTGACATATCACACAATGACATACTGCAGAATGTTATTATGTGTAGACTACCCTTCCACTGGGGTGGGCAAATGCTTTACTCTCTGCTCCACTCCCAAGTGGCCCTGAATGCTGCCATTCCCCTCCCAAAGACAAAGAAGGAAGGTCTACAATATACTATGACATTATGAGAACAAGCCTTTCCATGTGTAATTAGATAGCAGTTGAACTTCTTTATTTCTTTGCCAGGCTGTTTTAGTTGTACCTTACTCCCCTCGAGTTTTTCTCTTATGCATACACATGCATATCCTTCTTTTAAGGCATCAAAGTGCAGAAATTAATCTTAAGTACTCAGAATGCACAGTTGCTCATGGCACCAGTACCCCCTCATTCCCTTGCTGTTCACAGCCTTCAATGGAGCTATGGACCCAAAAGTCATGCAGGCATACCTAATCCAGCTGCCTGAAGCTAATATTACTCCTCCTTGTTCACTCTGCTCCTCTCACAGAGGTCCCCAGATCCCTGCAAAGGATTTATGGTGCACTTGTGTATCTTGTAGCAGCACAGCTAGCAACCCAGTATCTTAATATAAACTGATTCATTCATTTTACCCTTTCTACCCCTCTAATACACTCAGATGCTGCTAAAAACCACAGAATCTCATCTCAGTTTTAGTGTGCTCCTTGATGTTATCCCCTCTACAAACATGCAGCACTTCCTTAACTGTATTGCCCTAATCGAAATAAATAATTTACTGCAATGCCAAAGGCACAAGATGTATTTGTTTTACAATTAAATTAACACCTGACTTTCCATGTCAAATAAATTAGACTGATCATTCAGTTTAGGAAGAACATTGCATAAAAAGAAAACATAAAGTTCAAATTTTCTTTTCAATTTCTGCTAAATTATTTCAAATAGGATTCAAACATAGACTGAGATCTCTCAGTTCCACTAAAAAAGAGATGCAAAAAACTTCCTAAGTATATTCAGAATAATCTAAATGAAAAGTTTATGTTTTGTCTGCTGATGGAGTTTTCTTATATTAGGAAGTTTCTTTATTTTCCTCAAAGCTCTTTAAGTGTTTCATAGAGGGTCTCAGAATGAAAAATACTGTTATAAAAGTACTCTGCTAGAGCAAACTCTGAACCATTAAAATAATGCTCAGGGAAAGAAACAAAGCAATGAAGATATGAACATTTTAAAATAATATGCAAGATGGTTAGGACCCATAATTTTTATTGCTGTAAAATAAAGCAATGTTTTGCTGTAATTTCTTTTAGAACTTAGGAAAAGCAGTAAATCAAGTCCCTGTGTATAATCCACCAGCAAGTGCTTAGACAGCAGTGTCTGTAGGAGTAATGATGCTGCACCCCATTTAAAACTGAAAGCAGCTCATACAAAATTGAGACTACTACTAATAGAACACAGAGTGATTCAGTTCCACAAGTCTCTCCTGAGGTGATTCACACTTTGAATGAGAAAACAAAACAGAAATTTTCAAGGTCACATCTCACATCTTCACATCACTTTCACATGACCATCACTACAGCATCTGTAACTTGCTTCTGCTCCTTCTCCCTCAATCCTCCCTTGAAAGTGAGATTCATCTCCTGAAGTTCTTTTTTTTTTTAGCTTCTCTTCTGAAGGTTGACTATAAAAAAAAGGCTGAGGAGAGGAAAAAACAACCTTGGATTTTACACACACAAGTCAGTCCAAGTTTTCTATCTTTGCTTAACAGGGTTCTTCCTTCCTGCTATTATTAGTAAATCTTACAGTTTACTTCTCTCAGCATTGAGCTGGTAGATAATGTACAAAAAAGAAGAAGGATTTCTTACTTATTAGCTTCTGACACCAATAAATTCTGTATACCTACACAGCAGAATGGAAAAATCTCTTCCTGTGGAAGGCTGTTCATCACATTTTTCATGCATTGTTGCTGATAAGTTTAACTTTTTTGTTTCACAACTCAGCAATGAAACAGCTATTGTTTCCAAAGTGCTGAGCAAGTTCAACTGTGGGAATGAGAGACGTGCAGCAATTCTCAATGGTCTCTCTGGTGGCTGCAGATTGAGGTGCCCAGACATGGGGGAGAGAACGTGGGTGCAAGAAGAAGAAGCGTCAACTGGAGAACTCACCTTTTGGTGTAATTACATGAATGACATGTTCTGCTTCAGTTTATTTTTAGCTTCTATTCCAGTAGGAACAGAATTTCCTCAGGAAAAATTCTGCTCTTCAGGTACCTAACACAGGCCCATCCAGATACATAATACATGAGGCACAAGGCCAAGCACATTCTTACAAGTTTACCTGTCTAAATACAGAGACCTGAAAAACCTTTAATGTAAATTTCATGGTATGAAACACCAACATCTTACTTTTTCTTTCTTTTACGAAAACCTCTTCTACAAAAGCTTGTGCCAATCTCACCATGAAGCAAGTCATTAAAACTCACACAGCATTATAAGAATAACACCACCTAAGATAACTTCGGAGAGTTCTATGCTTTCCCATTTCTGCAACTTTCCATACTACAGCACTACTCACTAAATCTGTACAAGGATCATATACGCAAAACATATTTAGGTGAAAATGCATATGCCTCAGGGACATAAGTATTTGACTTTAAAATAATATATGTAGGAAATATTTGTAAGCCACAGGAGAAGGGCTTAAAAAGATCAGAGATACATGTAGGTACTAGGAATGCAAGTGACAAGTATCCTTTTTTATCCAAATAAGAGAGTTAAAAAAAAACCAAAACCAAACCAAACCAATTGACTATCATTAAAAATGGCAAAAAATTAATGCACATTATTTCCAAAGAAGAGATAGACTGGGGGCAATTATTACCAATACCTGCTAAATTGTTATTAAAGTGTCAGTTCATCAAATAGCCGGGTTTATATTGCAGCATCTCACTCATCTTAATTCTTAAGTCCCATGAAACAAGCAGCTAAATGCCATCAGAGATCACCCGTGCCCTCTGATGAGAGGGTTTTTCAAAGCCATGGAGTGCTGCCCTGACTGACTTCCTGCAGATTTATGCAAGATAAGAAGCTCAGTAACCACATATACAAACATATTGCTCTTGAATTTGCAAATATATAAGTAGATGACTAATTCTAGCTTATGAATAAAAGCATGCATAAACTTACATTTGTACTGTTGGCAGGAGCCCAACTGCAGGAGCCTGTGACAGGCTCAGTCCTTAGTCTTCAGTTTGGGAGAGCTGAATGCTGAACTGGACAGTCACATGAGGCACCTGAAATTAAGAGACTCAAATATAATATCTCGCTAAGAATGCTACACTAGAGGATCACTCAGAAAAGATGTGGAATTACAAATATACCCTCTGTGTTTGAGCATGTGGAGAGAAAAATTAACATTATTTTGCTGAAAGCCTGTTAGTGACCTAATTCTACGGGCAGCTATTGTGATGCTGAGTGTTTGCTCCCATTTTTGTCTGCAGCAATCACTGCCCAAATTCCAGCCCAGAGTTACCTACTGATTAGCAAGCATGCACACAGCAGGGCAAGAGGATAACAGATAAGAATCTAACGTTTTCAAGGATGCGTTCTTCACATATTAACACCAGCTGCACCACTCATTAGTTGAAATATGAGGAAGCAACCGGAAAACATTCAATTTTCAAACTATCAGGTAACATAGCTCAAGCAAAAATAAAAGTCCTCACAACTTATTCTGTATGGATCAGATTACCTTACAAAAGCACTTGATCCAACAGCACAAGAGAAAAACTAGTCATTCATTAGCAGTGGAAGTAGTTTCATCCAGTACAAAGTTGATTTATACAAAGGATCAAATGATTACTTTGAGCAGTTTGGGTCTAAGAGATCATTTGTTGTTGCAAAGGCTAAAACAATGCAACTATTTAGTTCAGTGACGTTACTTGGTCACAGCTCTCAATTACATGCACAGAGAAAGGATTTAAACTTAACCCACCACATAATAATGGCCAGTCTTCGCGAACGAAGATTTTTGGGAAAGGTCTTTTACCTTTCCAGCCTGCGCAATGGATTTTTTAGGTGAGACACAGCCTGCGCTGAACTGAGCCCACCCTTTAATCCTAAGGGTTCATCTGCCGGGGCCAAGCAAGCTTGGACAATGGCAGTGAGGTCCTCAGGACGTAGGTTTGTTTAGAGTGACCTTCTCATAGATGGATGGCCTCACAGGGCTAACGGGCTCCATCCGCCCGGGGGGACCGAGGAATCGAACCTGGGTCGCAGCAGTGAGAGTCCTGCTTGCTAACCACTAGGCCACCAGGGGTCCCTACCCACCACATAAGACACCAGAGGAAATGCCACGTAGTAGACCTCCACTGAAAAGTGAACACTGTGAAAAGTAAAACTAATTAAGCATTGGCAAAACTCTTCAAGGGCGGGGGGAACTGATTAACAAAAAATAAGACTAGATGCATTCCTAAAAAAACTTCTAAATATGGGCTCATTACAAATATAGGGCTTCCTATATTAAAGCCTTTAGTTCATATTACACCAATGTCAGACTAGAATAGCAGAAATTGTGGAGAGATCTCACATAAATATGCATCTTAATGGTGAAGAAATACAATATACAAGGGACAAACTACAGACTTTGAGGTAAGATTTAAAATAAGGGTCACACGACACCTTGCTGGATTTACATCCAGACTGATTCTGTCATTTGAAATATGTGGCAACATGTGGTCAAAAATACTTTCTTCCAAAAATTTCCCATCATCTTGAAAAAAGAGACAGGTCAGTCACATTTAACTTGGAGCAGAAGGCTGTTCTATATTGGGAATTGTGACAATGCTGTTCTAGCAGAAGAATTATGAGTTACGTGCCTTGAGACCTGTGCACTAAAAGATTTCCCAGAGCCATGACCTTTGGAAGCATTTGGAGCAGGGGGAAGAAGGGGAAAAGGAAGAGGAACAGGTAGACTCCAGGGAACAGATATTATTATCCTCACAACCAGAAAAAACCCTATGAGGAGTAAAAGAGTTTGTTTGACATTTACAGTCACCTCACACACACAGTACTTCAGTTCTTGTTGTACACAACTCAAGACAACACCGAAGTCTACAGTATAAATCACATTTTTGTTTTGTTTTGTTTTTTCTCTCTCTCCTCCTCTCTTTTTTTTCTGCCTAGAATTAAACTTTGAAAGCTTATCTCCTTGGTTTTAGCTCCAGACTAGCTGTAAAACCTCAGAGGTCAAACATGTCTTTTGCCGCAAGTGCTGAACTCGATCCAAAACATGAATTATTGTGAAAATTAGCTGCAATTGGAACACTTATAACTTACATTCACCTTTGGGCTTCAGAATCTGCAGAAGCTCCACCTATAATACTGACCGCTATAATTTTCTTCTGAAATTCATTTGATTTAAGAAGCCTTTTTGCCCAGCAGTAATATTAAAACCAATTATTTAAGAAAGATATTTTGAAGCTCTGTCCTCACTGATTTTACAGTTAAGAGAGGCCATTAGATCACTCAGTTCAAGAAGTGCAAAACCATGATCTTCCATCCAAACAGAGTTACATAACAGGATGAGCAGCACTGCTGTCTTGGCACAAGAGCTTCTGGATGACCATGCTAAGTCCTGTTTGGAAGGGAGAAGGGTTGCCAGGCTAAGGCAGATACCACCAAACAACACCAACAGGAAATTGCCTGCCCAGACCAGCCCCTGCCGAGCAGAGTCATGGCTCTTGTTCCCCTTGTCCAAATTTCCCTCTCATCTGGGTTCTCCAAGGCATGTGGAATGCAACTCTCAATTATGCAAGTAATTTGAAATGCATCTTATAAAGTTACAGAAAACACGAATATTAAAGATGCTCAGACCACCCTGATGGACAGCAGTGTGGAGGTGTCTTCACCCACAACCTAAATGCTGTAGATGGGCTCGCCTTCACACTATTTGAGACCACCATGTTCAAATCTGGACTAGACATCTTTGCAGCAAGTGGCCTGGGTCACCATCTGACTCCAAAAGAGCTTTTCCTGCACTTCTGAGTTCAAAGTCCTTGAAGTGAAAAGAAAGAAGTTTTTAAAGCTTTAGGCTGAAATGTGTGTCGTGCCCAAGGGCTCAATGTGGGGGGCATTCAAGGGCATAAAGCCAGCGTGAATAGAGCTGGCTTGCTCTGCTCAGCACCCTAGCCAAGCTTGCTATAGGCCCTATCCACGCCATCCAGAATAAATGCTTAACTATCCTTAACTATGCTGTCTAGTCAACTGAGCTTGTATTTCCTCTTGGAGGGAAGTAACTGATTTATTCAGTGAGCAAAACTAGCTTAAGTGGCTGGCTGTGGCCCAGAAGTAAAACAGGGACAATTTCTGAGCCAGACTGACAGTGTAAACCACCTTCAATCATCTCTGTTACTCGTACTTTTATTATACCTTTAAGCAACTTGTGCAATAATGACAAAATTATGCAAGCATAAGAAGCATTCCAGCATACTTTTCAGACAGTGTTTATCACCTAAAGAAAACACTCAAATACATTGCTTTATTTAAATTCCATGATAAGGCACTACGAACTACCAGGCAACCTTGAGATGGAACTATCAAGCAAAGATGGAACTATAAAGCAAGCAAAAATATATACCTCTAATTTTGGAATATGTGTATGTTCCAAAAGAAAGTACTCTTGACTGATGATCAAAACGCAGTAAGCAATACTGGCAGACAACACTGGTATAATGTTATTCATCAATATGGAATCATTTCCCTTGTCCTCTGCCCTCTCCCCCAAAAAACCCAAACCAAATGAACAAACAAACACAAAAGAAAAAAAAACCCCTCCCAATAATTTCCCAACCAATGTTACTGTATCACCAAAAGCAGCCTACTGGCAAGGAAGATGCTGCTGCATAAAAATCAACCTCAAGAAAGTGCTACTTTATCTATTTAAGGATTAACACCAGTAGACTGAGGCTGGCTGAAAAGCTGTGCTTTTGGTTTTGCAGGAAACTGCCCCTGAATTGCTGAGTTTACAGGAGAGAAAGGAGACTCTGCTCCCTGACAACACATGGCCCACGAGAGCGGGGAGCTGGTACTAACAGCAAGTTAGTACTGTACTACTGACAACAGAGGTGGTCCATCCTCTGCTGTGGGCTGTGCTCAGAGTCTGATTTTTGGCAGGGTAGAAAGTGAGGCAGAAGGAGCAGGGAACTGCTACAGTGCTGTCCTTGTTTCCATGACACGTGCTTTTATAACTTGTGCTCCCTGAGGTAAAAGGCATAATTTGGACTCAACAGCTGACAACTCAGCAGTTCTCTGCCTGTGGGATAAGGGAAAGCTGGTTCTGTTGTAGCAACAGTTGACCCCACTCCAGTGCCAGCTCCAGACAGTGCACGGAAAGGAGGGCAGACATATGCCCTTCAAAACCTTACACCCTGACCAACATTCATACCAATGGCTTAGGAGTTATTTTTAGTTTAAGCACTTTCTACTTGCAGTGAAACCTGCTACTAGGAGTGATTCCAGGAGACAGCAGCAGGGAAAGGCAGACAGCAGCAAAGTGGCAAAAACCCCTGCTGAGAATTTCTGGTGCTTGCAGGAGTGCAAGGACCTTACAGACACAGTGCAGGAGGGCTCCCACAGTCTGTAAATATAGGCACTGCAAATTTTCCAGAGAAAGGAGGATAGCAATGATCAGCAAAAAACTGATGGTACATATGAAAAACAGTCCCCAGATATTTTTCTCAGCGAGTAAGAAGAACCTCCAGACATCATTCATTCTAAAACAATAAGTCAGTAAGGAAGGAAAGCAAAGAACACAGGGAACCTCTGCATTTTCTGTATCCAACCTGCCCCTAAAGCCCTCAAAGGGTAGGTAAGAAAAGAGATCTGTTCATCTAGGAACTTATATGGCCCTCATCATTGCCATGCTAATAATTCTGGAAGAAATCTATAAGACTTTGGAAGATGAGCCCTAGTGACATTTAAGTACCTATAAACCCCACACTTTCGATGCTTCAACCAAAAGAAATGTTCAAAAATCCTACTTAACTGCAGCTAAGTATTGGAGAGGGGAAAAAGAAAATAAAAGGAGAGGTGATGATAAATTTTGTAGGCATCAGCATGCACAGATGCAGTCTCATCTTTGACAGGGCCACACCACCTGCCTGATGCTTAGACACTCAAGATTCACAAAGAAATTACTCCTTGCCTGTATCTGCTGATGAAAAGTGCACAGAACCACAGAATCAGGTTCCAGAGAAAAATGAGAAGCTTTTTGTATTAAGTCACAGAAAAAGAAAGCAGCAGGAGCGTTCCCTTTCCTAAGGCAGCTGAGCCACTGCAGCACTCCTTGAGGTATGGCAAACACCTTTTACCACCTCCAGAGACTACTCAAAGTGACAGACAAGTCAGGATGAAGACTTGTCTAGCCTTTCTGTCAATGGCATTTCTCTCTGACACTTAAGTAACCACTGTCTCAGAGCAGGACTCCATGTCCTTGTGAGAGGGCACTCACTGGAAGCCAGAGACCATGGACTCTAGGTCCTGCTTCCAAGGATTATTTTGATCTTTTACATTTAATCGGTGATGGAACAAATTGTATCCAACAGCTTTGGAGTACAGAGCACAACCACCTCTTAAGTCACCTAGAAGCAATTTATTTTTCTTATTTTTAGATAGAAATTTGATGCCTGGCAGTCAAAAAGTAGTCATAATTCAATCTCAGGGGGAGAGACACCAAAACACAATTTCAAATAATTCTAGCTAGTTATGGTAAACAGAGTAAAATTGCCTATCATACCCATTCTCCATGTCTTCCTCCAAATAAATCAGTGTCTAACTCAGAGGAACAGCATCCCCTCTCAAAGAGCCATCAGTATTCTGTTTGAATTCTCAATCCTCCCACCTATTCAAGTATCTTTAAATGTCCTTCAGTAGACCTTTTCTTCTACTGCTAACATGCCTTCACTTGAATCCTCTCTGTATTTCAACATGTCTGAATCTAAGATCCCAGTGTTTCAATTATTACTGCATCCTAGATCAGTATGTACTATTGAAAATGAAACAAAACTAATTCCGAGAAGTTTTCTGATTTCTTTTTTCAGATTTCCCTTCCGTTGTCCAAAACCTGTCTTTCAACAACTCAAATAAAAACATTGCAAGGTAATATTTACTATCATTTAAAACTGTATCAGATCATTTTTGTTTTCATCCAACTAATGTATCAACACAACAGGACTGCTGAACCTTCTCTGCATTTCTTTGAGCACTAGCACACAGCTTAACTGGAAAAGAACCTCATTCACCTGGTCACATCATCGATTAAGTCATTTGCAGAAAAACGTAATCCATCTTCATCAGCCTTGTGATGCACTGCACTCTGCAAGACAGAGCTGGTATTTACACACATCTAGACTGCTTAAGACTGCCAGTCTTCTGGAGGTTTCATCTTTCAGTTGGAATTCTTACCAACACATGAAGTTTAAATACATCTTCATAAGGCAGAAAATTTGCTGTCAGTCACGCACTGGATTAAACAATCCAACATTCATACTGTAAGAGAGCTGTTTCTAATACATTGAGAGACTCTGTTCTAGCATTACCTATGGATGTTAATAAATTCAGATATTTTTGAACATTTACTAAAGCCCTGAGCCGCATGATGTTGAAACAGATATGACCTTATAGCCATAGACTGTAACTCAACAAGCACTTGAAAACTAAAGCCTTATGAATACCTGCTAAAATACCAGCAACAGCTTTGCCACCTGTGAAAAAGTTTTCCTCTCTTTCAGAAGAGCATCTCCACCCAAATGGCTGTTCCCATGTATTCCTTATTTGCCTTTGGCAACTCTCTGAGAATGCCCTCACCTAAAGGTTAAGTCTCTCCCTTCCCACAGCACACGTGTAAAGGGATTTTGCACAATCTTGCTCGTAGATAGTGCTTGCCACGGGTTGCTCTAGGTGACTAAAGCCGTGTGTTTGGAGAGTGCACAATGGAAACTGTTATCAGTTAATAACACTGATTAAAGTTTGAATAGGTGAAACAGCAATAAGATGAAAGGATGCAAAGACTTAGTAAACAGAAAATAAACAAAATAAGGTGACTCCCTAAAAGTTATACTCCAAACCAGCTCCAACTCAGGGATTTTTAAGCCTTCTATTTCTGCAACATTTTCCAGCTTAGATCATAGACCTGCAGTCTACTGACACTAGACTGTCATTCCTTAGACCTCTCAGGAGTAATCTGCAGTCCTGTCTCCAGGTAATGACAGGCAACTCATGCCGAGAAATACCAACCAACTGCAGATATGGCGCTACTCATTCTGTGGGTGAACTCATGGCATTTGCTTCTGCCTCTTCCACATCCAAATCCTTCCCCTTATCAAACAAATGATTTTTGTTTTGATGTTGATTCACATTGTGGTCAAATCCAAGTGACTTCTATGTCTATACTTAGCTTTATGTACAGAGTTCAACAGAAATCAAAGCTTATCTTTATCACCAAAAGCATACAGCATACAATGGTTGACAAGCTAAGTACAAGCACAGACTTTTTGCAGATCAAGGTATTCACGCATTCTTCCCTACAGGATGTGATAAGCTTATATATAAAGCACATAGACACTGATCTACATCAAGCAACATACTGTCTCAGTTGGCATTGCCGCATGCTGATTTGAGAGGGAACACGGCATGACATAGACTATAATCTTTCCCACAGCTACTAAACCTCCTAAGTCTGATTAACACTGTGGATTCATGCCGTGGGGTTGAACTAAGGGTTTAAGAAGAATTTGAAGAATTCTTCGACATTAAGGAGAAAAGGTAGAACGGACTGCCAGGTGAGATGTCAAAGGCAAGTCACACTGCCTTACTTAGGACAAGCTGGGTTTCAAAGACAGCACAAATCTACCCCATGCCCATGCTTCTCTGAAGGGAATTTGCCAGGGCATGGATTGACTACCGAATATGAATATTTGACTATTTTTGCAATGGTGATTTTAAGTGTGAAAGTCTGTGGAAAAGAATCGAAGTGACAATTCCTAAACAACAGCTCATGGTCCAAGTCTCCCCAGTACTAGATGACTATAATATCTATCCAGAGCTTTACTCCCATTGATAGCAAACTTCCCAGACACTCACCACTGACTACAATTAAAAAACAAACCATGCATATAACCAATTCCTACCAAAGCAAAACACAGCATGCGAGCACAATATGCCTCATCCAAATATACTTACACACGTTGAATTTTAACAAGGGAATAACGTTCTTTTCAGAACTACCTCAGAGGCTTTGAGAGATCCGTTTTCAAACACGATCTCTGCACACATCAGAAATTCACTCAAAACAGACACAGCAAGCTGTGTCTCCACTGCGTCGGAGTCCTTGCACAGCCAGTGCGCAGAGAGGCGCCCAGCATGTCTGGATGCTCCTCAAACGCAGAAGGGACTCTGGATTGTCCTCCCAAGGTCCCATTTTTCAAAAGGGTGCTGCTTATTCAAAATTAAATAAAACAGAATAAAATAAAATCACGGAAAGAGGCATAAATAGTATTTACCCGCCGCTCAGTCCTTGAACCAGCCAACCTGCCGGCCAGCGGAATGAGCTGTTGACAAAACACAGCCTCTATTTAAGTCGCAGGCTCCAGGCAGCGGCGGAGAGGAGCTGCCGGTCTCCCCCGGCGCCCTCGGGGGAGGCTCTGCCCCGCTCCGCGCCCGCACCGGCACCGGCCCTGGCCCCGACCGCGCCGCGCCCCCGCCCCCACCTGTCCCCAGCCCCGACCGAGTCCCGAGCCGAAGGAGAGCAGCGAGGCGAGCTGAGGGTCTCCGAAAATCCCCGCCGCCAGACCCCCCCTCCGCCCCTCCCGGCCGGCACCTCCCCGGGGCGGGCAGAGGGAGGGAGGGATGGAGGCAACATCCATCACTGCGCCCCTCGGGCCGCCCCCTCCCAGGTGCAAGCGGGTCCCGGCACTCACCAGCCGCCGCCTCGCCGTGCCCTGTGGCGGCCGCATTCCGCGGGGTGCGGGGGCTGTGCGCGCTCCCGGCGGCCCAGCTCCAGCGGGCAGCAGTGCGCAGCGCCGACAGGAAGGAGGGATGCAGCCGCGGAGGGAGGGAGGGAGGGAAGGAGGGCAGGAGAAGGAGGGAGGGAGTGAGGGAGGGAGGGAGTGAGGGATGGAGGAGCGGGGCTGGCGGGCTGCCCGCGGGCGGAGCCTGCGCCGTGCACCGCCCGCCGCCGCCCCCGGCCCTGCCCCGGGCACCGCCGGCTCTCGCCGCCCGGCACGGCTCGGCCCTGTCGCTGCTGCAGCCCCGCTGCTGCCGAGTCGGAGCTGCCCGGGGCTGCAGGGCCCCGTTAGTCGTGTCGCCGGGGTGTGGTGGGGACTGAGCTGCTGGGGACACTCGGTGGCGTGGCTGGGTCCCCAGCGGGCTGTGGCGAGCGCCCTGCGGGGGAGGGTGAAGTCACGGATCTGATCTGAGCCTTTCAGGTTCTCTCTGTGACACGGTCAAATATTCTTCTTAGAAAAGTGTCTTGAATGCCTCCAGCGCTGCCAGCCCTCCAGGGTTTGACGCAGTGGGCCTAGCCCTCCAGACCCAGGCGATTCTTGACTCATTTTATTTTTGTATTTGCCTCTAGTTTTTGAGGTCTGGGGCTTGACCTCCAGCATTTCATGGAAGCCACAACAGTTGCATGCCAGCCTCTCTTTTAAATTAAACTTGAAATCTTCACAATCCCAGAGTCTCAAGAGTCTGGCAATTAAAAAAAATAATATGCTACGAGACCCATAAAATCAGTAGAGTTGGCAAGCTTGTGGCTCCTCTCTTGTGCCCAAGTCAACCACAGGAAAATGGGGAGAAAAAGTAACTGCTGGATTTTCCTTGCGTTTTTCTGCCTAGGTTTCCTGCTGTGGTTTTCCAAGTTGCTGCAGATTGATAGTCTCAGAACCCATATTACAGGGAACTGCATTGTATGAAAATCCTGGGCCAGACTTGTGTTCCATCTTGGATAAGTAGATGATTTCAGGTCCTCAAATCCACATTGTCCTGCTATCCTGCATATAGCTTGCTTGGTCTAAGTGAATACAGGTTATTTTGTAGAGAAGAAATATGCCCCCGTTTCCTCCCCTTTCCAGTGTTTTTGCTTGTGCAAACAGAATTGCATCTTATGAACCTTGTGGTTGGGTCATGCATAAAGATATGTGACTTCAGATCTGTTCTGGCTCAAGGACACGCTTGACTTCAGACCTTGAACCCTGAGACTTGTCTATGGGTTGGCCTGCATCACCTCAAGAAGGATTGAGTCTCCTTATAGACATACCATTCTTGGATTTTTTTAAACATGATTTGAAGAAAAGCCTTAGGCTGTGAATCCCGAGCACAATGTGGTGTCTTCTCTTGATGCACATTGAAACACTCTGAACTCTGAGGATGGACAGACTTTAAGAGAAGACTCCTATTAGGCATCTTCTATTTAGTAGGTTTAAGCAGTTGCCTTTCCAGCACATCAGTCAGCATTTCACAATGCCAAATCTCTCACCCCTGAAAAGGTCTGCTGAATGGCTAATTCTGTGGTCTAGACTTCACTCCAGGCACAAAGAGGTTTGATATGCCAGCTACTTAAGGAAATCTTTCCATTTAGTTCCCATTCAAGCCCAGAAGGCCTCCTACCCTATTTCCATGCAACAGCAGCCAGATCACAATGAAACTGGGAATACCCATGGCACCATAAAGCTTGGGGAGAAGGTGGACATTTCATTGTACACCCTTGTCCAAGAGAGGACTGCCTCTGCCTTTCTCCATTTCCAGATCTCACTAACTGGAGCCTGTTGCCTTCCCTAGAGTCTGCATCCAAGGCTCGGGAGATGCAGAATGCATATGTGCCATGGATTACAGACCCACAGATGACACAAGGACTTTTTTTCAAAGGCATTGAAAACATTAAATGAAATTGTATCACCTTTCTTTTCTGTAGCTCCTGTTATTTCAACTTTAGTAAAGGCTCACAGGCATTGTACTTGTTAGAAAGCCTTGTATATGGTACCATCATGTATATGGTACCATCAGGAGTTGTGGAAGATTTGGAAAATTTTCTAGATCACAAACCCAAGCATTTTTGCTATTCTTCTCTTTTTAAATAGTAAGGTAGCTTTACAGACATCCCATACAGGAACTGTGGGTGTTTGCATTTTTTTAAGCAGAAAAATGTGATTGTGAAATTAGAAGAAGCAGCCAGGAGAAATCAGAGGTAGGGATAGTTCCTGAAGTTATTTTAAGGTTTTGATATTGTATTGATGACTCAATTTTTAATGACTCAGTTGAAAGTTAAGAAACTTTTGAGATCTGATACTATTTAAAACAAGATTATATAGTGCAAGTTTCAAGGTGAAAAAACTGCAAGTGGTTGGTATCAGTTATCTCTTTTTTATACAGTGAAATATGCTAATTTTAATATAAATATCCCCTAGACTAGGCAAAAGACTGGCCTAGTTATACCACTGCTTCTGATCTGCAGGAAGTATGCTATCCATGCATCCAATCTAATCATGACACCTTCCCCGTAAAATATCATAGCTGCTCTACTTTATTATGAAATTTATCTGCACATAGGACATATATGCAGGCCATTTATTTTGCTTCCTGCCTTGTCTCAGTTTTCCAGAAAACTGAATGACAGATGCTGTAATGCACAACTGTGTCTTTATATACTCAGTGTAGGATCTTGTTGTTGATGTCAACAGCAGCAGGGCTGTGCCTTTCAACATTAATATTTTGGACAGTGAAAGAGGAAGGTTTTAATCTCTACGGAGAGTAGGCTAGCTTGAGTTTATCTTAGTTTATCTCAGGGCTTAGTATTACTTAGAGAACAACAGATCTGCTGTCTAGGTCAGAAAAACCTTCTTGAGGCATGTAAATTCCAAATGAAAGTGAGAAGCCCAGCTAGGACATTTTCATTAATGAGAGTTTCCTGGAGCCATTTAGTCTTGTATTTAAGGGTGTGTTGGTTATTTATGGCAGGGAAAAGGAACGGATGTGTTGATGTTCTGGAACTTTTCCTTTGTGCATTGTTTCCCATTTCACAGTTGTATTTGGCACCCACTTTCCTCCAGCCAATAAAGAATATTAAAGAACTTCCTTTGCTGAGAAGTTGTGCGCGCATTTTACAAACCATACAGTTTAACCAGAAGTGTGAAAGGTAGTACTTCTACCAGCATTTATAAAAGCCAGAGATTGCGAATATATAATAGTGCCAGCAAAGTTCTGCCAATGGTTGATTTTATGGACTATCTATTCCTGTTTTCTTAGAAAAAAAAGGATTATATAATAGAATCAACAAAGCAAATTTTGTTCTGACTGAATGTATTCAGGAAAGCCAATAACAAAACTCACATTGGCTGTGATAAACGCAGGAGTAACCTCCATTCATGCCAAGAATAACCTTGAGTACTGTGGATAGTGCAGGTATTTTTGTACTCGCAAAACAACTGTTCTTTCCTATAAAGTCTCAGTGGAAGCATCCTTGTGTTGTCAAGTTGGTGCAGAGTTTTTCTTGGAAATGAGGTTGCTGACTCCAGACAAATAAACTCTTGGTAATTAATATTTTTCAAATACAGAGAATTTTCTTCATCATTAGGGACCTATGCTGGTGAACTCAGGAACATGTTGGCAATATATTGCTAAAGGGCTTCAAAAATTTCCCTGGTCTCCCTCATCTGAAGGAAAACCATGCTGTCTGTTGTGGTTTTTGCATTTGCAAGGAGAAGCAATGAAGGACTTTGATCTACTGACCTGAACTAACTTTGATAGTGCCATGAATTTAAAAAGAAATGGAAAGAAAAACACTACTTGCCAAAACCAATTAAATTTAAGGCACTTGCAATCCTTCCACTGGAAAAAAAACGCACCTCAGATGCCTGGGAAATGCATGATGTTGAAATACTGGATTCACTACCACTAATAAGACTCTTATGGTCAGCAGTGAAGGCAAAGCTTCTCCCAGGCAGAACAGAGATGATAGGAGGTGGATTGCATTGCCACACACTGCCAAGTGTTAGGATATTTGTGTCTGACCAGGGTCATTTGTGTGTAAAACAGAGGACAAGGGGTACCAACTGTTAAGTCTTCATAAAGTGCATTGGGTCTGTCTTGACTGCCAACAACAAACAATTCTTTTGAACAGGCCTTTTATATCTTCCTGAAACAAGTGGTTGTTATGTAATGACTTTGCTCCTGACCTTTCCTTGCCTTACAGAACCTTTGGAAAAATTTGTCTGTTGCCTTTTTTTCCTTATTTTCACATCTTTATGGCTACTGTTTGTCTTCCTCTTGGGAAGATGTTATCTGAGCCCATGTTATCAGACATGTTTTTGGAGGGGTTACAGGTTGCCTATGCCATGGTTATTTAGAGCAAGGGAACTTTTGGTCTTGTCTTGTGATCTTGATGTAAACAGCACACTCTTCACCATTCCTTGATTTGACTGCAGTCGTTCATGGCCATCATGTCCATTAATGCTCATTCTTTCCACCCTTGCTCTAGTGTGGCTTCCAATGCTCCCACAAGTAGGCATTTCCATTTGCATTTAATTCAGATGAGTCTTAATACCTCAGTTACAAATGTCTACAGTAGCTACAGTGAACTAATGCCTGAAATGGGACTTGTTGCTAAAGATCCTCTGCTAAAATAATCTACGTGTTGTAAACTGATTAACAGCTGCAGGCCCATTTTTCAGTCTAGGCACTTGCACCATCCCACAGGTGATTAAACTGGCAGTGTAAAGGGCAGCACATGCTTAATCATCATGTGATGGATGCATCACATTGCTAAGGCTTATGCAGTAGCATGAGAGGTCAGTGTTTGAGACAGTGAAATAAGACACAGAATAGTTCTTGGAAAGAAATTAAGCTAAATACACATTTCTGAAGAAACACCAACAAATGGTAACAATCCTGCTGATTGTGGAAGAGTTAGTGGAATCAGTCCTAGAACTAAGTCTGACTCATGGATATGAAACTGAAGAGGCTTATTTTGTACAGTAGTGGAAGGGCCAAATTGCATCACAAAAAAGAGAATTTACAAGAGTCAGAAACTCATTTGG